TGAACAGATTTTTTCTAAATTCTCATACATATAGTACATATAATTATTATTGAAATGTCGAAAAAACTTTTTCTCAAAGTGTCCCCCGAAAAAATTTCTTATGAATAGGACTCAAGAAAAAGTTTACAATCGAAGTGTCCCTCAAATTTATTGCAAATGAAAATGGCACTTAGGAATATTTACATGAATCTTTTTTGTAGGGACATTTTAGTTTGAAACAAATATTCGGGACACTTTCATTTGAAATAATTCTGCGGGACACTCCAGTTTGAACCAAAATTAAGTTTCATTATTATTCTTAACCATTCATTTCAGCATTGGATCAATTTTGCAAAGTTCAAGATTGCCAGAGGAAAAATTGCAAGCATTTCTTGGTGAGACTATAGAATTAAGTTTTGACAGTTCATAGAATGAATTGTATGAATTTTATACAAATATTTTTATTCTTTTGATTTTATTGATAAATTTAGAGACATTCCGAAAATTAAAACAACGTGTATTGTGGAAATTCGAAAAGGAATCGCTCATCAATGTTCCGTCAAATGTGCTAATTCGCAACTGGTTTCCTCAGAACGACATTTTGTCTCATTCAAATGTGATTTTGTACATAACGCACGGCGGTTTGTTTGGCACATCCGAATCATTGTATCACGGCGTACCATTGCTATTTATTCCATTTTCATTGTATCAATTCATGAATGCCAACAGAATCAAGACCGAAGGCTATGGACAAGTTTTGCTTTTCAACGATATAACTAAAGAATCATTTTCGAAGGCAGTCAATGAAATCCTTTCCGATATGTCTTATTTAAGTAAAGCCAAAGAAACATCAGCTATCTTCAAAGATAACTTGGTCCATCCAATGGATGAGGCTATGTTTTGGATCGAACATGTCTGCAAGTTCAAAGGTGCCAAGCATCTTAAATCACATGCGGTTAACATGACGTGGTTTTCATATTTACTCTTCGATGTTCTTTTTATTAATGCGATTATTTTATTCACAGTCATCGCTGTTGTTTATGTTTTGGTTAAAAGTCTGTGTTCAAAGCAAAAGAACAGGCAAGAATCAGGAAAGAAACAAAAATGATTTTGACTCTTAACCGCAGCGTTTCAGTTTAACAATTGAGTGTATGTTCTGAAAATAAAAAATCCAATAAAAGACTATCACATATATTTTTTTTTTTTTCAATACATTAAAAACGTTCAAAATTTATTGGGTTTCATTCATGCAATCTTTGTAAGAGGTCTGGTGAAAAAAATAAAATGATCAATGAAACATGCTTATCTAAATAATTTGAGTGGAACATACAAAAAAAACGGACAATATGTACTCTATCTTCGGCCACGTCGTCCCTTCGTTGGAGGTTGTGGTTCTTCATCTTCGCTGTCTTCGCTACTTTGACTTGCCGCTTTGCCTCTTCGTCCGCCCCGAGTTGAGCGCGCCGACGCTTTCGATGAGTTTAAAACGGCAACATTTTTACCTTTCGCTGCTTTGCCTTTTGCCGCTTTTGGCGGTGGTGAATTCTCTGTGTCAAAATCATTATTGTCATCATCGTCGTCTGAACTTAAGGCGGCCCGTGCAAATCGATTCATTTTACTCTTTTGTCTTGACGCTTTGGTGGCGGTTTTTTTCTTGCCATCTTTTTTCGCTGGTTGACTGGCCGACGGTACATCCGCATCTTGTGGATTTTCTGTTTGATCTTTACCTATACTGATATCTCCGTCCACTTGAAGGCATGCGGTAAGCTTATTATCTAATTCTTTGGCCAGATTTTTCAATTCTGGTTTGGTCTGTTGTTTGTTTGCATTTGTGATGATTGTCTTGAAACAGTCGTAGATATCATCGTATTGTACTTTATCTTTGTAGTTTTGGAAATGATCGAGAAGTTTCTTCATCGTTTTTTCTGAGTGATTTAACATTGACAAACAATAGGCAACGTCACGCCATTGCCGTTCCGTATTCGTATTTCGGAATCTTCCACACAGTTTTTCAACGAAAGATTCAACCTGTCGGTCCTTTTGAATGAGCTCCAACAAGTGTTTCATAATAATATGGAATTTATCCTCTGGAATGGGATCTACATTTGGACTCAAGCGTGACACAATATCGGGCAGGATTTTATAGTATTCCAATTCTTTGCTGCCAACCAGTTGACGGAAGAATTCTTTTGCGCTGCTCCTAATCTCTGGATTTTCATCAACGATACAGGTCGCAATGTCAGCAATTTGTCCCGTCACCCGAACGATTGCCTGTAAAATGACGTACGACAACATTTTGAGTGTGGTCAATCGAACGGTATCATCGGTTTCCAGTAACGTCGCAAAGAAATTCGGAATCCATGGTTCAATCGTATTGGCAAAACGTCCCGTTAAATCGGCCAAACCAACCATAATATTACATTTCATCGATGCATCTTTTGATCTCTTGAGAATATTCATTAAAAATGCAATACGATCACTGCACAAACTCGCCGACACCACCATGAATCGCATGAGTGTCAGCACAGCAGAACGTTGGATGTGAGGATTTGGATATTTGGCTGGATGACTCAAAATTTCTGTGAGTATTGGTAGAAAATGATACAACAAACCATCGGCCGAACCAATTAGTTCATTTTCACAAATGGCGTTGATCATCTCGGCGAGTGTGTCTTCGGCTGTTGCTCCCATATATGCCTCGTCTTGCTCTTGAGGCTCATTTGTTGCAGCATTTGCGGTTGACATACGTTTCAAAGACTCACTTGCCGATGCATTTAAATTTAACGTTTTGCGCTTATTCGATGTGTTCTTTCGCTCTTTTTTTTCTTTCTTCAACTCTTCGCGATATTTGATATTCAAATAGACATCGTTATCGAGATAAACCAATTCTTTTGCCGCAATATAACCAAATACGAATATAATTCGTGGCAACAAATAAATTGGAATGTATGTTTCGGTCGTTTGTGATGATTCGACGCCATTTTCTGAAATGTCCATTACTCGTCCGGCGCGTCGCTCTGATATATCCTTTAGTTTTATGCATAGATCGTGAATGATTTCCTGACACAGTAGATCCGGTGCATAACACATTTTATACAAAAAGTTTATCGTTTGTGATGCGATCAATTCAAAATCGGGAAATTTTGGATAGAAGAAAAATCGCTTGAAATACACGATTATGCTGTCGATCACATCTTTGTCATCGAATCGTTTGTAGTATGTAACGATTTTGTTGGTTTTGTCATTCTTTTCAATTGTTGGTTGAATACCGTTCATAAGCAATCGCAAGCAGCCGGCGAATATGCGCGGATCGTCAAGGATTCGTCGAGTGTTGATGATGTCGATGATTAACTTTTTATTGCTGTGGGCGACCGCCGGTTTGGCACTGTAAGAAATTTTTTAATAATATCGTTAGCATCGCAAAATATTTGTTGAAAAATGACTCATTTTTAATTAGTGACATTTTTGAGTACTATGCATATTTTTTGTTCATATCAAAATCACTTACTTTGAAACCAAAATTAAAAGTTCCATGCAACATCTTGCAAAATTGCTTGTAGTATCGGGCAATTTCAGTGTGAATCGTTCAAAAAGCACGTTAATGATGTTGATGTTGATCTCGTCCGTAAGGACCCAATGTTTTATCATTAATTCAAAGGCAGTATACTCTCCGGTTGAAATGTGTTGAAAGAAGTTGTATAGATTGTCAACAACTTTAATATGATGTGCTCTGTTTAAAAAATTTCACATTTACTTTTACAATCCAATTTGAAATACAAAATCAACGCTCGACCCTTACCTTCCACTCGCATCTGTGCCAAATAAAACGCTATGATATGCCTTAATGACGGCTTCTCCTTTCTCATTCTTATCCTGGCCAGTGTTGATGTACAGCAAACGTAGCATCGATCTCATTCCGACCTCTGTGCCTTTGATGTTGAACAGATAACCGGTTTTGAAAAATTCAATGGCCTCCAAAACATCGGTGTTTGTGCTTGACAAGAGCAAATCTTCGAGTTTTGGTACTGCCTCAGCCATTGCCTTTGAAAATTCCAACGCATCTTCCAAGAAACCGATGATACCGTCTTGAGTTTCAAGCTCACTTGTCTATTTTTGAAAATTAAATAAAATATCAATTATATTGGATTAAAGATGGACAGCTATGGACATGGTCAACAAAACTTACATAATCATTAAACAAATATGAGTTCAGCAATACAGTAAAGTAAAAGACTTGATCCTTCAATTCCAATTTTTCTCGTTTTTCCTTATTGCCAACATCCAAATGAACGATATACTTGACCAGCGTCTCAAATTCACCACGTTTCAAAAGATCTCGAACTTTTTCAACGCGCTGCTCTGAGGTCTCATCGTGTAAACCATTGGTTGCAACATTATCTATTCGATTTTGTTCCTCTGTTAGAAATTCTGTCAGAATTGGTTGTAAAGCTGGTGTGCATCGTTCGCTGAAATCAGCATTGACCTCGTCTTCTGTTCGCTCCTGTTCCATTTTCTTTTCACGAATAATACGAGACTTTTCTGTTTCAATTTTGAGTTTTTCTTCCACTTCATCGAGCGGCAACTAAAGATGCAAATTAACAAAAAAAATAATTAAGATTTCCTTGACTATTTAGAGGGAATTGAAAAAAATTGACTCATTACCTTCGATGAAAAGGGATTCGATTCCAAAAATGATTTCAGCAAAATGATCGCATTTTTGCGCACCGTTGCTGTTTTATCTTCCAAACGTTCGATGGCTCGGGTTACAATGCGAAGCATCCACACCAACGGAACCGCATCACGGGCTTTTAAATCATTCCAAATGTGAAGCACTTTTGATCGAACAAAACTGGATACGTCGTTCATGTGATTCCATAAATCTTCCAAACATTCATCACGAAGTGTCTTCTGGTCATCATTGAGATCTTCGCCGCTCAATTGTTCGATAATAACAATACTCATCACACCAAATAAACTGTTTCGCACCGCATATGGCTCTAAGTTTAGCAATTCCTGTGACATGTCCAAGCATTGTTTCGACAATTCGGGTGAATTCTCTCCGATGTCCATAATGAACATGCTCAAATGCTTTGATGTAGTTTGTGATGCTGGATTTACGTTCACTTTATCGATTAATTCTTTCAAAAGGTTTCCCAAAACGGTTGTAATACCAAATTCATCGTTTAAATAGCGTACACCGCGAGCAATCGGCACCACTGCCGACTCTTCTCGATCCATAATTTCCACAATTTGCAGTGGAAAAGCGATTCCATGGCGATATTGTTTGATGGCAGTGCCGAGAATTTGGAATACAGCATCATTGACACGCTTTTCTTTGGTCGATGGATGAACGAGCGAACGATAGGCCAAATCGCACAGTAAACTGCAATTAGATTGGATATATTCATAGATTTAACACTACATTTTCGGAAACATTCTACGTATTCTTCAGTCAATAATATTTTCACACATTACTACGTTCATTGGATCAAAGTATTTCTGAAGTTACAATTGGACTTGGGTTATATTAACAAAATCACTTTAAAAACAATAATAAAAGTATCAGTTGTGTTGCACATTTGAAATTAAAAACTGAATTGGTCGAATTTCATCCGCGAGCGGCCCTAGTACTGTTAAATGAACATATAAATTGAACTCACTTGACAAAATCCTCATCAACGATTGACATATTCCATAATTTTTCGATGGGCAATTGCATAATGTTGCACACTTGAATGAGAACATCATATCGTTTTGTATCATAGGTGGCAAAATGTGGCAGTGAATCGTCAGTGTTTTTCTTATTTTTTCGTCCTGCTGGCTGAGATTGTGTGAGATTGTTTTTGACAAAAACATCGACCGCTTTGATGGTGCTGACCAGCAAATACATCGTCATTTTGATAAGATTTAAAAAATCATGCTGTCGATTCAATGGTTCTTGCTTCAGGTATGCATCAAGCATTTGACCAAGATTCTCTGTTGTACGATACAGTAGATCGATGGCACGAACCAATGTCTGGATTTGAAGTTGTGTCACATTTTCAATGACCGAAAAAAATGTGTCAAAATGATCAAATATGTAGAAAGCGTCGGTTTGTTGAAGCGCTTGATGTGCAACTAAATGGAAAATGAACACATTTTTTCGTTTGTTTTATTTAGATTTTTGTATAAAAAAACCGATTATATTTACCTCGAAGCTGTGTCTGAATTTCATTTGGACTAAAAACTTGCTTTACAAAATAATTCTGACCCTGAGCATCATCTAGTAGCTCTTTATTATTACGCGGTAACACAAACGAAAAATCCATGTTTACAATATATACGCAACACAAACACTAATAAACTAACTTAAAACTCGACAAATTTTATCGAATTTATTGTTGGAACAACCGTTAATATCAGCTGCTTCTTTCAAATGCTATGCGCTTGTATTTTATGTTTGATTCCTCCGTGCTTCTGTTTGGTTGTTGCATTCTATATAGCATCATCTGTCAGAAATTGGTACGAAAGCGGCGCTACTGTCGCCAGTGAAGCCATCAAATTTGAATTTCGGAATGTCGTTAAAAAAAACAAAGGGAATTACAGTGACAAATGCATTGTTTTTCAATGGGGAACATTTTATTTGGTCATATTTTGATTGTGGTAAATCATTTTCTTCACATATATATACGGTTTCACGTTATTCAACTGAATTTCATACATTTTTCTTAAATATTATTATATTTTGTAGAATCTCATTTTCGAAACCTATCAACGGTTTACTTATCAGCTTATTTATTAATATGTCAAGCTTTTTTTATTCATTAAATTTCGAATTCAACTGAAATTAGATTTAAATTGAAAAATAGCAAAAAAAACATTCAATGTTACGTAATTTCAATACACCGACGGACATTGTAAATTTACATGAAAATGTTCAAAAAATTTCACCTTGTTTTATCTCCTTTTTGTTTAACAAATTGACTATGTTGTATTTTTTACGCTATTTAGCGTAGTCAAATAAGAATATCTTATGTCTAAATATTTTCCATCAATGATGCGATGGAAATAATAGCTATTTTCGCTTTGGTGCGCGACGTGGTCTTAGTGGTGGTATGTTTTCTTCGAAATCATCGTCGTCTTCATCGGATGATACAATTCTGGCTCGTTCCCTCTTTTTCGAATTTCTTGTTGTCTTTTGGCTATTTCGCTTTGGCTTAATGGTTGTTGGTACATCTTCTGTATCAATCGTGCTTACATTAATCGATATATTGTTTTGTCCGGCTTCCAAACATTTTTGTAGTTTTGCATCAAACTCTTTCGTAGCCTCCTTAAGCCCCGGCTTTATAAAATGTTTGTTTGCATTTGTGATGATCGTTCGGAAGCAATCATAAATATCATCGACTTGTAGTTTGTCTTTGTAGCCTGGCAAATGTTCAATGAGTTTCTTCATTGTTTTCTCGCTTGGATTCAGTAACGATAGACAAAATGCAATATCACGCCATTGACGTTCCGTATTCGTATTTCGAAACCGGCAACACAGTTTATCGGTCAAAATTTCGGTTGGACGGTCTTTGTGAACGAGCCCAAATAGATATCGCATAATAATGCGGAACTTATCTTCAGGCGTTGGTGTTTCGTTTGTACTCAATCGAGATATAATATCGGGCATTACTTTATAATATTCAAGTTCTTTGCTGTTGACCAATTGTCGAAAGAATTCCTTGGCGGTATTTTGAATTTCAAAATTTGTGTCGATTATACATACGGCCATTTCGCTTATTTGTCCCGTCACACGAATAATTGCTTGTAAAATCACATGCGACAACATTTTCAATGTGGTCAATCGTACGCTGTCATCTTCTTCAAATAACATCACAAAGAAATTCGGAATCCATGGTTCGACTGTGTTTGCAAATCGGCCCGTCAAATCGGCCAAACCGATGATTATGTTGCATTTCATGGAAACGGTTTTGGTTTTTCGCAAAATATTCATCAAAAATGCAATTTTATCAGCACAATATGTACTGGAACATGCCATGAATCGCAAAAATGTCAGAAGTGCCGCACGTTGAACATATTCGTCTGTATATTTTGCGGGATGGCTCAAAATTTCATTTAAAATCGGAACAAAATGATATAAAAGACCATCGACTGAACCAATCAGTTCACTGTCACATATGTTATTGATCAATTCGCCCAAGTTATCTTCAGCCGTCGCACCTATACCGTACGCTGAATCGTTTCCATCGACCGGTGATGTACTTCGAGAATCGACGGATCCATATCGTCTATTTGGCGTTCCTTCCGAACAACCACTTCGATTCGCACCTTGCGATTGACTACTTAATTTTTCGCGGTATTTTACGTTGATTGTCACATCGTCATTTAGATAAACCAGCTCTTTTGTTGCGACATAACCAAAGATGAAAATTATTCGTGGCAACAAATACTTTGGTATGTACATTTGAACCAATAGTGGTGAGCCATAGCCAGAATCATCCGTTTCCATATTTCTTTCATGGCGTTTTTCGGAGATTTCCATCAATTTCGTACACAAGCCATGAATTATATCTTGACACAATACATCGGGACTGGTGCACATTTTGTACAAAAAATTGATTGTTTGCGATGCAATCGATTCGAAATCCGGCAATTTTGGATAGAAAAAGAATTTCGTAAAACTACCGACAATCGCATTGTTTAATTCGACGTTATCGATGCGTTTGTAATAATCACTGGACTTTTGAACTTTTTCCGGTTGAATGCTATTCATGAGCAGTTGAAGACAACCCGAAAAAATGCGTGGATCATGAAGAATTCGATGACTATTGATGATATCCATGATTAGCTTCATGTTGTTATGGGAAACTGCGGGTTTAGCACTGAAAAATGAATATAATTTATTATTCTGTATGAAATGAGTAGTATCAAAAATTGCAATTGACTCACTTCGAAACCAATATTAGCAGCTCCATACAACATCTGGCCGCATTCGCTGAAGTTTCCGGCAGTTTAAGTGTGAACCTTTCAAACAAAACATTGATAGTGTTCACATTTATGTCTTCTGTGGCGCACCACTTCTTGATCATTAACTCGAAGGCCGTGTACTCGTCAATTGAAATGCATTCCAGAAATTTGCACAAATTGTCAACCACTTTGACATGATGCATTCTATTGAAATATTCCAATATTAGTTTATGCCATTCCGATTTAGCAAATAAGAATGAATGAAAATTACCTGTCTGTTGCATCGGTTCCGAACAAAATTTGGTGGTATGCTCGCATTACAGCTTCAGATTTTTCATCTTTCTCCTGGCCTGTGTTGATCAAGTACAACAATCGAAGCATCAATTTCATTCCAGTTTCGGTTCCTTTGATATCGAATAAATAGCCAGTTTTAAAGAATTCAATGGCCTCCAGAGTATCAGAACTTGTGGTTGACATCAACATTTCTTCAAGTTTTGGCACGGCGCCAGCTATAGCTTGTGAAAATTGCAGCGCATCTTGTAGGAATCCAACAATGGTCGCTTGTTTGTCCAATTCACTCTCCTAACATGTTTCAATATAAGAAAAAAGTAAAAAAATGCATGTCAAATCTCATGGAAACGAAAATAATGCAATCAAATCTTTGTACAGAAAAATCGTCAAAAAGTCAATAACTTACATAGTCGTCAAACAAATAAGATTTTAATAGAGCATTAAAATAGAGTACTTTTTCATTTGTTTGTAGCGATTTCCATTTCTCGTAATTACCGGCCGATGCGTCCAATTTTATGATGTAAGCTGCTACATCGTCAAAGTGTCCATTTCTTAAATATTTTCGAATTATTTCAATTCGCTGTTCGGAATTGGTTTCGTCCAATGTGTCGTTTATGGTCAAAGATTTCGTTTGTTCGTCGTCACTTAGGATGCTTGTCAGAATTGGTTCCAATTCGGGAGCACAACGTTCATCGTAATCGGTTACTAAATCTTTTGCGATTCGATGTTGATTTCTAAACTTCTCCTGAAGTTCGTTCATTTCCTTGACTTCCTTCTGTAATTTTTGCTCAATCACCTCCAATTGCAACTGTTAAATAAAAAAATGGTGTTCAAATACGTGTTCAACACGTTGAATAAATTTTTTGCTTTCATTACCGTCGATGCAAATGGATTCGATTCCAAGAATGATTTCAGCAGAGTGATTGCATTTTTGCGCACCGTTGCTGTTTTATCTTCCAAACGTTCGATGGCCCGAGTCACAACACGAAGTATCCATTCCAGTGGTACTGCGTTTTGATTTTTTAAATCATTCCAAATGTGAATCACCTTCGAGCGAACATAGCTGCTGGTGTCATTCATGTGATTCCATAAATCTTCCAAACACTCTTCGCGCAGTGTCTTTTGATCATTATTGAGATCTTCGCCGCTCAAGTGGTTCACAATGATATCATTCATTATAGCAAATAAACTGTTTCGCACTGAGTATGACTAAAGAAACAACATGAATCATTACTAATGACTAATAACTTCGGGTGACTAATGCAACTACAACAATTATTTTTACCTCTAAATTGAGAAGATCCGGTGCCATGTCCAAACATTGCAACGATAATTGTGTTGAAATTGCTCCAATTTCTGCAATAAACAAGCTTAGATGCTTTGATGTGACTTGTGATGCTGGATTAACATTCACCCTCTCAATGATTTCCGTCAAAAGATTGGCCAACACCGATGTAATGCCAAAGGTATCATTCAAATAACTAACACCATGAGCAATGGGCATGACAGCCAATTCTTCACGTTCGAGTATCTCGACAATTTGCACCGGAAAGGCCATTCCATGGCGATATTGTTTGATGGCAATGCCAAGAATTTGAAAAACAGCATCATTTACACGTTTCTCCTTGATCGACGGATGAACAAGTGAGCGATACGCCAAATCACACACCAAACTATATGACAAAGAATCGACATTAATAAATGAATTGGATATTTGGCGTGAAATTCAGACTTACTTGACAAAATTTTCTTCAACAATCAACATGTTCCAGAGTTTTTCGATGGGCATTTGCATAATATTGCAAATTTGAATGAGCACTTCATAACGTTTTTTTTCATACGTAATGAAATATGGTTGTGATTCGTCGAGATTTTTCTTCTTTTTTCGTCCGGTTGACTTTGGTGGTGTTGTTTGGTCCTTTTGACATTTGTCAGTTACTTTTAAGGTGCTCACTAGCAAATACATAACCATTTTGGTTAGATTGAGATAATCCTTTTGTTCATCAGACGATTCTTGCGACGATGCCGGTAATTTGAAGTAATCGTTAAGCCATTGGCCAAGTCTTTCCATTGTGTTGTACAAAATATCCACAGCTCGAATCAAATTTTGAATCTGAAGTTGGTCGGCATTTTCAATAACGGAGAAAAATGTATCAAAATGATCGAAGATGTAGAAAACATCGCCTCGTTTTTGCGCATTATGCGCCGCTGAAAAATGTAAAAGATTGTTGTTAAATCTTGTATTGAAAATAAAAAATAAAATATTAAAACTGACACGAACCTCGAAGTTGTGTTTGTATTTCGTTCACATTGTAAATTTGTTTTACAAAATAGTTACTGCAATTGGGATCTTCCAACAACTCTTTATTGTTTCTCGGTATTTCAAATACAAAATTCATTATTTTTTAAAGACACAAAATGAAGACGACGAATTAAACGACTACACTACACTATATTGAGGTGATTGTGCATGGATTTGCACTTGTCACTTTGAAACAACCGTAACGAACAAAAACTGTCATCGATATGCCGCCTCGAGAGTTGCTTTGTTTCATTTATGTGTCGTTTTGATTATTTGCCTTCACACATACATACATCGTTACAAATTGACATTTACGTTGGAAATGGTTCAGAATATTATATTTATTCAAAAATCATCTATTTCATGTTTACTCAGTTTATGCTCCATCAAGAAGAACAAAATTCGCTTTCATTCTGTGTGAATTAATTTTTGTTAAATGGAAAAATCATCTCTTGTGTGCAGTTTTGTGATTTTCAAGAGCTCATTCATACCCGAAAAATATTAATGTCATGATTATTTTGCTGGGCGACGATAAACAATTCAACATTGTTTATGTATATATCGAAAGTTTTTTTTTGTTTAAACAACGTAATGTGATCGTCGTTCAAAATAAAAAAAATAAAATCATAGACGACATAGCAAACTGAATTCAATCGATATGACACAATCGTTTCGGACAATGTACGTGATTCAACCACTGCACACAAGTGTGTGTGTGAGTGTATGTTTTAAAACCTTAACCGTTATCTCTAAGAATAAAAGATAATTTTTCATCGTTGATGCTATGCACACGGTGCTCATAATCATTTGAGCTCTTGCTGTCAATTGCGTGGCATCGCACAAGTCGTTGAGTGATTAATAGTTGGTTACTCCATCACGTTTGATTTTCTTTTTTTGGAAAAATGTCACGTTGTCTACGGTCAACGACTCGATTTCAAAAATTACAAGCACAACAGATAAAACAATTCGATAAAGCGTTACAATTCAACATAAGCAAGCGTTCAGAGACAAAAATCGACGCATTTGATCAGCAAGAATTTCTCAGTCTGTTTGGACTGATGCCATGCATATATCAAAATGGCACCAAAAAACGAAAAATTTCCGCGATTTCACCATCAACTGTCGATGCAATAATAAAAGACGATTTCACGAAAATTAATAGAACAATAGAAAAACGACCACGATATATCAATAATATTCCACGAAAAAATCGGTTTCAACATAAATCCATACTCGGTAAGAGATCTTATATGCATATATGAAAATTTGATTATCTGTGCGCAGTGAGGCATTGATTGGTCCCATTTTTAATATGGCAAATCGAAGTTTTATTCGTCTCTTCATAAAATAATTGCAATCAATGAGGAAAAACAAGAAATTTCACAACAAATTGCAATTATTTTGTTTAGAGACCAACAAAAGAACAGTATTGATATGGGTTACCCATGTAATTCGTGGTCATTTTGTCAATTTTTTTTTGCTATAGAACGTCGCATCACAGAAGCACTATGTGTTCAGACGACTTTGCTCGCCCGAAAGCAATATCTATTGAAACAAATGTTGGAATCCGTTGCAAATCAACGTAAATGCAATATTTTACACGAACAAGCGAAACAAAGGAACATCATTTTGAAAATGCAAATCAATGAATTGCAATCAAATTTGATATTCCTTTGGAAGCCATCAAACGTTCAAACAGAAAATCAAAAATAAAAGAAAGAGATAAAAATGGACATTCTGTCATGAAAAAACTATACATTTTTTAACAAACTGACAAAATATTATTTATTTATATTATTCTCAAAGACATTGAACATTAAGTTTATTAGAATTTATTCTATTGTTCTGCCTTAACTATTAAACAACGAAAAGAAAAAAAACCATCGATTTCGAAATTATGTTCTGTACCAAACAAAATGTCAATACAAATTGTGTAATGTAAACGAAAAAAAACGGTGTTTTTTTGTTTCAATTCTTCTGAAAAAATGCCAACAATTTGGTTTGTTCAAAATTGAACTTCAAATGTTGTATGTAACTAAAATATAAGTTGCCATCTGAAGTACAATATGAAAAATCATATTTTTTTCCAACCACAAGATCCATGGTAAGAGCTGATGATGGGAAAATATGGTATATGGACAGTGCAATTTTAAAAAGGTGAGCATAATTTAAGAAACATAATGACATGCATACATCATCCCTGGTTGTTTCAATCAACAACTGACTGTTTGTGGTTTATCGAACAATTGGCCGATACATATATGTGCACAAATGAGACCGCACAATGTCAATATTGTATTTTTGCTCGCTATATTTCTCTTGCTGTGTATTTCAGTTGTAGCTTCATGCAATAGAGCGAATACAACATACTACATTCACTGTGTGACGGCCAATGTATGAACCACTTCGAATATATATGTATGTCTTGTTTTTAGCTTAACAATCGAATCTGCATGAGATATGTGCAAAGAGCGAAAGCAAAACTAAAACAAACTCGAAATATTGAAAAAAAGGCAACGAGACGGCAGCGATCATAAGAAAGAGAAAGAGCGCGCAACACACAGCAGAATGAATACAGTAAAGCTAAAACCGAAAAAAACTGTATGGGCAAAAGAAAATGGTGTTGGTGTGCTGTTGTTGGGTATGGTTCGCTTTCAATGGAGTTTTGCTTTTTTCGTTGTTCGTTTGTCTTATGAATTTGAGTGGTGTGCGTATGAACGTAAATCTATTCATCTTGGTGTGTTGAAAAGCCACTATAAGACGTCGAAATTCATGTATACTTCAACAATAGTATGAATACGAATTTCTATGCTGCATCACCAACAACATTTTCGTATCAAAGTGTTTTTTTTTGGTTTTATTGCATTTTTTTTCGTCAATTTTTCTGCAGATAAATGAAGCATTGGAATTGGATTAAAAATGCTAAAGAAATTTATTTATTTAAGTGCTGTGATATTTATTATTAGCTTAGATATAACTGAAGGTGAGTGTAATAAGTGGTATTGTGAAATCGACATTTGGGCATTGAAATCTTTTTTTTACTATTGTCTTGTATTTAAGATAAATATCTCCGTGTTTTTTTATAAAAGTGAATCTCAAAGAAATGAAAAAAATAAAAATAAAAAAAATATGTTTCAGAGACAATTTTAGAAACAGAAAGTGTAATCAATGAGTGTGACTTGTTCGACCGCTTGTATTACTCATACCTACTGGTTTAGTCACCGTCACCATCGTTGTTGTGGTTTTGATGCATAAAGTGTCATAATTAGTTTACTAACAAAACTTTTCTCTGGTCAATTCTGGTGTTTTAGGTGCCTTAAGGAGATGTTACCAATGTCGTTCGCGCGGTGAACTTGGAAGCTGCAAAGATCCATTTAAATACAATGTCACCCAAATTGACAATGAGCACGGAATCACTGCGGTACCTTGTGCATCCGGATGGTGTGGAAAAGTCATCGAAAGTCAAGGCACACTAAGAGATGACGGTGAGTCAAATATAAATTGATAGCCGCTTGCATTAAGATCTAATATACTGCATTGTCCAAAATATCTAATGGATTTTATTTGATTTTTGTTCATCAAGATTACGACATGGCAACACAACGAATGTGCGTACAACGAGGACCATCAGATTCGGAGGATCGATGCGCCCACACTACATACAATTATAAAAAAGTCTATATGTGTTTTTGTCAAGGAGATTTATGCAACACAGCCGCTGATAAATTCGTTCCAAATTTCATAAAATTAGCTCTAATTTCCACGACAGTCGTACTTTGGAGTTTGATGCAAATTTAATGAAAAACGGATTTAATGGATTTTATTTTGTTAACGCATATGTATGTAAATATATGTCGATAGTCTTTTTTACGGAACAGTTTTCTTTTTGAAACGGAACGAACAAGCTAGTTAACTACAATAATTTTGTATGTACTTTTTTTTAATGAAATAAAATTGTCAAAAAGCCACATATTCAAAGCGAAATATTGAAAATAGTTGGTCATTTTAAATTGTAATAAGGAGAAAATACGGAAACCAGCATAGTGAGCAAAATAAAAATCACTTGTTTTGATCATTTCAATTCGATAATAAAAAGAGCAAAATAAATGAAGGAAAAAAATTGAGAAAACACACAAAAAATAGATGCTCTGGAAGTTAGGCAACCGTCGATTTGAATGTACATGTCAGTTCATTCATGCTACTACATCATTTCGTGTTCGAATGTGTCTTGTGATAAGAGTCATCGTACTAGAGCTACTTTGACAGATGGAACGCATTGTTTACCGAAAAGTGCAAAGCATTCAACACAGTAAAAAAAAAAACCAAATAGGAATATTTTGGTCGGTGTAAAATTTCTTGTTCAAACGATAAAAATGAAAATCGAAGTATAGACACACGGGAAATCGAAAAATGATATCTTCCATATTAATAATCACACTGATTGTCGCATTGGTTTTCCTCAATCGATACGATGAGGTTTCCGCAATCAATCATTGGGGCATTTCAGATGGATCAATTGAGCCACAGGTTTGATATGAAAAAAATATTTGAAAAAAAAAACTGACCAATTTCTATTCAAGATTGATTACATTTTGACATATGACCCGTTAAGTGATAATTGATATTTTTGTGTTTCAGGTTGATTCAATTTTTTATTTACGGCGACCCGATGACTTAGTTGCATTTCTCAATCAATTCGACTATCGACAAACAATCAATACGATAAATGCACAACTATTGTCACTGCAATTGGAAATCACCGATAAGGTGCAACAATCGACTTTCTTCCAAGTTGAAATTATGTCACACACCGAATGTCTTATCTATTATTCACTGAAAGATGACGATATGTACAGCACGCTAAAGGACAAAAAATACTTCAATCGAATCAACACAAAACGAATGATAACCAAAAGTAATGATTTGAAACGTGGCAATGATGTGTATCCCGTGTGTGACGATGTGCCATTTAGTATGTCGTGTTTTGAGCACTTGAACAGCATGATCAATCGAAGGCGATTACAAATGAATGCCGAAGTGTCATTGCATGCGGACGAGATTGGTGTGTTGAAGGATAGTTTTGTGAAAATGATCAAATTTGGTCTTGCTCAAGAGCAATTGTCGTGGAAGTATCCGGTAAGTGATTCAATTTTAAGATGCGATCCGTGATAAATGATAATTAATATTTGTGTTTTCATTCAGGTTTTGGCATCATATTTCTGGCGAGCACGAGGCAACGCAAAACGTGCTGTTATATTTTATTACTATAAGCATTACTATAAGCATTATTTGATTATGGTTTGTTTTTATATTTATAGGTGCTGTTGAGTGTGCCCGTCGTGCGATTTATTTGGCGCCACGCAAATATCAGGACATTCCACTATTGAGTCTAGCCACCATACTACAACGGGCTAACAAAAGCCAAGATGCTCTGGTCGTAATGCAAAGTGCATTCAATCATGCGCCCGATGTTTTTGAAAATCAAATTGGCCTTGGGAATGCACAATTTTTAGCATCCGATTTTAGCGGCGCGTTGAAAACATTCAAAAATGCCGTCACACTTGATTCACAATTCAACGGTCGATTGGAATTCATTCAGAAATCAATGTCGTGCTTTAAAACAATTAAACAAAAATTAAACGAATTTCAACATCAAGTGGACGAAATATTTGGTCTGCTCAATAATTATAAACGAAATCAAACAATGCTTGAGGAGTATTTGAATCGGGTGCTAAGCGAACAAGTACCGATCGCAAATCGTTTGGCCGATCCATCGTTTGACGTGTATTCACATCATTTATTGCATCGCGGTCAATATTGTAAAACCAAAGAAATGCCTGATTCCAAGGAACCCATACTATTTTGTGATTTTTACACAGACTTACAGTCACAACTACAGAAAGAAGACTTAATTGTTGATATTGTTCATCATTTTGCTGAAGCAGCACCAAAATTCATTGACAATTTTTCGTTGGGCGTCTATCGATATTTAAACATCGAAGATTTTAATGAAAATGACAATGGCGGAAAACCACCGTCACCACCGCCGCCATCATCATCAACAGATAATACGAAAAAAGATACACAAACCACCACGCGCACAACAACCGCTGCCATTGACGCCGATGTACCGTTAAATTTTGACATGAAACAATATGAAGTTTTATGACAAAAGATTCTTGCATGATAAGTTGAACAAATACATTACCTCAGTTCATTGTTCGCTGCCAATGCAGAGCTGACTCACTTATCGAAATAATATGACAACATTTTGAGAAAAAATGAAGTAAAAAATGAATAATATGTTTTTCGTTTCTGTTCTCACAAATGGAGTTTAATTTATTATCTCTACGAGTATTATTGTCTACAGTTAGAAATATTTATGAAATAAAATGTGAATTGTAAATATGAATTGAGAATAACTGTTTCATTTTAAATGCAGCACTTAAAAAAAAACAGAGATAATTCAGAAGCAAGATTTCTATCTCAAAGAAGAGGGAAGAAGTCAATACCATCAAGAGCCGATTTTGGTCAAAGTTGTCGTCCCTCGAATACTTTTGGTCAAAATACTAGATGTTAGCATTTTCATCATGTTTGTCAACAGGATATGATGGGTGATATTGACACAAAGGTCCGCAATGTGACTGTGTAAAAAAGTGAAAACAGAAGTAGATATGGCAAAACTATCAAAAATAAAGGGAAAATTAAAATAAATTTTCTTATCATAATAGTTCTCTTTTAAATAAATTATAGACCAATTCTTTTTCAGCACGAATTGAAAGATCATATTTAGTCCATTATTTTGAGATTATTGTAAGTTGGTGGTCAGCGTCAGTCTGCTGCACTTCTGGTCCGATGCATTGTATAACCTTAAATAGCCGCTGTTCACGCACAATGTTTTTTCATTCCTCATCGTTTGCATGAAAAGTAGCTATTATTGGTTACCATTTATGTTTGCTGGATAACTTGCTCGTAACCGATGCTGTGTCCACCCTTTGAACTCGAAGTCACCAAAATTAACCAAAGTGTAGCGATGAAATCAAAATAAAAACCAATTGCATCTTATTTATATAAAAATCATTTCTCTTTAGCTACTGTCAGGATGGTGGAAATATCACAGTTGCAATTGATACATTTATACAGCCGCTTGTCAAATCGCACAAATTATGCATTGATTTCTAATTATTATGCGGATAACAGCAGCGATAACAAGTATCATTTTTGTTTTGCCATGAAAGAGTTTTGAAATATTGGGCCATCGACGGCAGATGTCAATTTAAGAAACAATATTAAAAAGCATATTGTCTACACGCACATGAAATATAAAGATGAAATATATTAATTTCTAATCGTGTGCCATGGACAACAGCTATTCATAACGTTCGATCTTGCTGCATCCAGTTTACTTGAAAGTCACACCAACCAAAAAAAATCCTGTAATCGAACGAACTCAGGACTTTCAATAGAACAGCAAAACAAAAATGAATGCCTTTTCAATGGCCAGAATCATGCAAACATCTCAACCGTTGAAATTGATGCGATTGAAACCATGTCACACGCACAATATGGATTCATGGCATATATTGAACGCATAACAATAGCTTAAATAGACACCATTCATAAATTGACTGCACACATACGCACCAACTAATTCCTATAATAGAAACAAAAAAAAAATATTTTATTACATTTTTAATTTGTATATTTATTCGTAAGTAAAAGGTTCGATTTTTTTTTTCAGTCTAACTTTTTTCGAGAACGCATTTTACACCACATGAGAGTCAAGAATCGATTTTTTGTTCTAGTCCTTTGGATTTTTATTCAGGACACATATTTACTTTTGACTTTTTATCGATGAAATGAAGTGAAATATTATATATAAATATACATTTACAACATTTTTTCTTCTTTATAATGTTGCGCGAATATGTTGAACATAATAATATGTGGTATAATATGTTTTATTTTTAATGACAGAGTATGCATTAAATATGAGCCATGTGGTTTATTTGGCCGTTTCTCATACGAACAAAATAGTATCGTGGCGGTATTATTGTGACACTATTGTGCTCTCTCTCTTTCTTTTTTCGAAATTTGAATTATTTAAGAATTTTCGATTTTTCTCCACCCACTTTTTGTTCATTGGAAAAGTTAACGGTAGTTTCGAAATTATGCTATTGTTTCGATTGTATATATTGTATGGCTGATGTGGTTACACGCACATTGTTCGTCATTTGAAAAATCTATACCCTCAATCACCGTGCGCACATACACCTTATATTGTTTTTAAAAGTTATAAAAATTATCTTGCCTCGAACCACGTGCCTCGAAAATGTAAGAGTATTTCACCCCCGAGAATAATATATATTCCGAATCGAATTTTTGAACATGGCCTTTTCTGCTTCTTTTCATCATATAAAATTTTTTATTTCAATCGATTGTATTGAATTTAATTGTGTAGTTCAGAGAATGTGGATCTATAAAAATTATACAATTAAAATGCGACGTACATTTAAAATAAACACGCATATCACATGCAGAACGCCAGCAGCAGCAGCAAACCGTATTGTTCCCATTTTCAAAAAGCTGGAAAACATTTGGTTTCATACCCATAATACAAAATTGTCCATAAGAGAATGTTTCTCATTTCTTTTTTATGTTAAATATTCATAATGTGTATCGAGAACATGAAGTGAAATTGGAACATTTGTTGCCGCTTGTATTGTAATGTGCCGATTATTTATTAGTTTTCAATTGAGCGAAACTACTTGTAATTAGTTTACTGTTGGCGTTGCTGCCACCGCCGCAAATCGCCAATGAAATTCAAACGGATGGGCTTATTGAATATGCGTTGATTTCATATTTATAGGTCGAAAAAAGAAGGTAGCAGCGGCACTCACTAAATGTTTCAAAAAGAATTCAAATGATTTCATTTGATTTAGTTCGAAATCGAGTAATTTGCGAAAATGAACAATTTATTCGAAAAGTAAAGTAGGCGCTTGATGATTTTGAACAATATTTGAAGTAAAAAAAAAAATAGACAGAATTTGAAGAGATATTGAAGTGATCAGACATCGAACTAAGTTAGAAAAAAAAACTATAAAAGTTAAAATTAAAGCTAATACAGGTTAATTAAATTTGAATTTAATATTTGCAATGGACGACCAAGGAGAGAGTCAATCAGATTTGAAGAAATTGAACAATTTTCTTGATCGCGTTAGAAAACTGGAAACTGAACTCGACGAATTCTGTATGATGAGACATGAAGCTGAATACCAGGAAGATTGGAATGAGAAGGGCGTAATTTCTGGTTTGGAAATTGAATTTTGGCACCATTACGTAAACTGCATTGAATCTGGCAATAAAAAATTCATAGACAACTTGGATGATTCGAGCGATGAATTTTGTAAAAAAATTTGTGACTTTAACGTAACAGTTAATTTGTATAATAGAGATTTAAAGGATTGGTCTGAAACCGATGGGAAGTCAACGAGACTGACCGTTTTGCTTGGAATTTGTGATTTGGAAGAATTTGTGTGTGACACCTGTGAACTATTTGAAACACACGCCGAAGGAGGAATTGAATCGGCCGAAAGTGATGAAGCAACCAATGCAAGCGAATGGCAATCGGCAGCAGAAACCGACGAAAAATCAGACGAAGGTGATATAAAAACCGATAAATCCGAGCGTGAAATAGAATCGGAAGGAGTGAACACACAAGAATCAGACAAATCAAATGAAAGTGATGGAAAAACTGATATATCTGAGAGCCATGTTTTAGCGACGGCTGAACGAAGAACTAGAGAACGAAAAATCAGAAAACCAGAAAAATCAACCAAAATTGATGACAAAACTGATAAATCTGAGAGTGAAGCGGAAAGAGTAAGAACTCAAGAATCAGACGAACCAACTGAAAGTGACGAAAAAACATCGGAAAGTGAAGTAGAAGCGACTGAAGAAGTAAAGACGGACAGAGAATCAGACCAATCAACCAAAAGTGACAAAGATTCATCCGATAACACGACAGAAGTAGCTGAATTGCAATCGGGTGAGGAAATAGAAACGAATAAAGGAACAGAAAAAAGCGACAGCGAACTTAATGCATCAAACTCAATTGAAAGTTTTCAAGTGGTCAAACCATCTGAAGAAGAAAAACCAGGCGAAAATTCGCCCTAAATCACTGCAAAAAAAACTGAACGGAACAAAATTATATTCACCCAAAATGAGTAGCCAATCCATTTTGTTGTAAATTACTTACACTTTGTTTATCTGGTAAACAATTTAATTACTTGTGAATATATAATCCAAATCTGAAAGAAGTCAATTTTAATTGACTCTTAAATTTACAAATGACACATTTACAGAGAATGAATATTTAATGAATGTTAAATTTGTTCATGTAAAAATGGGCAAAATTCAGCAAAAAAAAAAATAAAAATAAAAAAATTGTGTCCATAGTAATCGAAATAAATATTTTTTTTTCGTGTTTATTTACCACTTAAATGAAAAAAGGCTCACTGGTTTTTTTGTAACTGATGTAAAGTCTATTGAATGCAAACGATAAATGAATTCAGTTGTTTTTGTCACTGTTTTTTATTTTCACTTTGGTTATGGTGCACATACGTTCAGCCGTGTAAATTTTAAATGACTAACCAATCAATTGGCCGAGCACTTGCTTTTATAAGCGATCGTACATCAATGCAGCGCAATTGGTAGCGCATTTTTCACCAACAATACACTTCATATCTTTTGTATCACCCGCACACACATACCATTATCCATCGTTTAGCTGTTGTTGTTGTTTTCGTTGTCGAGAAAATCCTTAAAACATTCCATCTCTCTCACTCGCTCTCTATCACTTCGTGTTTGCGTATGTAAATCGCCCCGTATGATAATAATGACACGTAGATGACTGGTTCGATCCGTTTAGGTTTTCTCTTTGCGCCCTGTCTCTTTCATTTCTCTACCTTTCAAACATATCATGTCGCGGTGGCTACTTCTTTTCTTTTTTTTTTTCGCTCTACTTAAAATGTGGTATTTTATGCCGTGCGACTGTTGTATGGGCTCGATATACAATGAATTCATCGATTGCTAATAAATATATATACAAATGAAAATACTTGGTTGTTTCGAATGAAATGTAATATTTACCGTGCGTTGTTTTTTTTTCATATTTTAAATTCCAATTGAAAGAAACGACCAACGCACACACACAGAGCGCAATGGACAGAACTGCTGTTGCTGCAGCGTACAAGAGAAAGAAATATTTGAAAGGCTTTATGTTGTGACCATTTTAGTAATAAAGGAACACGTCTATTTATGGCGATAATCGGTAATTTCTTTCGTTGCGAGTGCGGTTTTCGATTTTCAATTTTTGAAATGGGAACAAGGAGACAATGAATATCATTTTTTTGTATCTTTTATTAATCAACACAATAGGTTTTCAAGTTTTTTGGCTTTTATTAGATATCTGAAACAATGACGAGATTCCGACAATCCAGTCATTGAAGTCGTTCCATCTAATACACTCTCCACACAATTTTTTTTCAGCAATAATTTATCAGCAATTTAAATTTATTTATATATTCAGTGTGTATTGAAACGGAATTGTTGGTAGACAACAGATACATAATTGAATATCCGATATTCTTCGACCGTTCACCGTTTTTTTTTTTTTTTGTTGAGCTGATAATGTGTCACGCGACTCCAAATCAATACGAAACCTTAGAAAAGATTCCATCCCCTACACGACTTTAGCCACCTTTTTTCTTTCTTTTTTTTCTGATTTATTTTTCTTCTACTGTTTACACCAGTTTACTCTTTTTCTCTTAGGCATGGACTAGTAAATTTTCATAAATTGTTTTGTGTTTTTAGTGCATCAGTTGTATGGTTGCCTGATATGGCATCGAAAAACGAACGAAAAATACACTATACGATTTCAAAAACGTTGCTTCATTTGATACTGTTTATTTTCGTTGTGTACCGTTTTCTTTCCTCTGTTGGTGTGGTGCAAACTCAATTTTTCCCATTTCACTAAATAGCACTTAAACCAGACTGTGAATCCATATGCACATAACAATAAAATTACCTTTGTTAGTGATAATTATAGACTTTATACTCAAGTTATAGTAATTTTTGGTAGCGGTTGACATACATAAACCGAATTGCTCATTTTCAGTTAGTTTATTTCGATTATTCACTTTATGAATTTTTAAAAAGTCGATCATTTAATTTACATTGATAATCATTTTCACTCGAAAAAATGATGTAATCATTTTAAGTCGTTTAGTTTTTTTATTTAAAATCATCCGTCATATTTCTCTGGAAATTTATCGCAAAAAAAATTATCGCAAGAAGTGTTCTTTCGTAAATGAAAAGGGCAGCCTTGAATTGGGGAGAAAGCCTGTGCTTACTCCTCGATGTCAAAATTCAAACTGTTCCAAGTTGAATTCATTCATTCATGCATTCGGATGATTTCCGATAAAAAGGAATGGAAATTCTTGTATTTACAACGGCAATACGCTTATATACCCATATACAAACGCATCCATGACCATATCCTCATGAATATCTGTTGGAATATAGAATGAGAGATGCAACTGTGAATGTTGTGGCCGTGCGTTCCAAGTACAATATGAGAGTGGTTTCAATGCAACGGCACAAATATATTCGCAATCATTAAATGGTCCAACAACACACAATATGTTGGTCGCATGCTTGAAATACGGGATGCGAGGAGATGCTGAGGGATGCGACGCGATGCGACATCGAAATCGGGATTAAAGTTCCTGTTTTTATGAATGACTCAACATGACTCATTCATAAACATGCGCGGATCTCATTGACCTACTAACACATATATTCGGGTTTGCGGAGAGAGCGCACACAAATACACGATCGAAATATGGCAATTTTTGTATTGGAAAGGCATACGAACATTACGTATTTGCCTGCGAGATCATTGAATCTATGACGATGGTAGCGAAACGCGATGATAGTAAGCGTTTATCCTGATGATGGTGAAAATGACGATGACGGACCAAAAATGACGATGACGTAAATTCTGGATTAATGGACAATTCAAATGATTTCAACCAAATATAGTAAACACAATAATCTTCTGCACCGATTTTCAGGCTGTGGCGATGCTAGCCAGCGATGAACGTCATTCGATTCGTAATCATATCGAATTCGATTTTCAAAACAATTTGTTTAAATAAATATAATGGGAATGAAGTTGAATGTTGTCCAAAACGAAAGTTTAACTCACAAAGGTGAACAAATTCAAAAAAAAAAAACTATCTATCTCTAAAAGTTTGAGAGATAGAAAGAGACAATGGAACAATAATTGAATATCAATCGTACAACTTTTTTTTAACTTTCAAACTTTGTCGTACGAATTGACCAAGTCTTCGACTCGATTTGTTTGTTTGTTTTTTTTTTTTTGTATCATGTCAATGATATATGCTAAAAATATGCAGAGAAAAAAGGCCATTGCTTGCAGGAATACGAAATCTATTTTTGGAATCAAGGAAATTATTTTTTTTCCATCCCGGACACACGCTCACAGCAACGTGTGTTACATTTGTTGGATGAAATGGATAAAAAAAATATGGAGCAAACTCCAAGAGACAAATGCTCTCTCTTTCTCTCTAACTCTCTAGTGAATACTTTGCTTGAAATATTGATTGGAAGAAAGTATAATAACCTCCAATTCGTATGAATTATAAAAACGATGGAAATATAACCGAATTTTCTTTGTGTCTTTGATTTATTGCTGTCTCTTTTGCACTCATGCACAATCATTTTGTTTAATAATTTGCATCTTTCTCTCTCCCCCCCTCTCTCTCTATTGAAAATCAAGTCTATAAGCGCATACAAAACATGCAAAATCGTGCTGTATTCTCCATGCCAAAGTATATTCGGTATGTGCAGTTCACATCCATGCACAGCGAGAGAGACACGCAAAGTGTGAGAAGGCGAACGAATACGCAAATACTAGGTTATTGGGGTAAAAGTCTTTTCATATGAATGACGTCATTCGGGTTACTCTTGTTCATGAAGACGTTATGCATGCCCCTTCTCGCTTTGGCCCGTGTGATGCGTTTCCAAGTTGAATGTTTATGCGAAAACATGCTGACAATTCTACACAGTGCATGGTATGCGACGAATGGAAATCTTTTGGCCATTAATATATTTACTTGGTACGTGTTTCATGGACCTTTGACTGAGTAAACTCTCTTTGTACACGTAACAAGTTGAATTTAAAAAAATGCCCTCACTCGTTTTTTCTCTCGATCTTCATGAAAATTTATCGCGTGCTTCTTTACTTGTACATTTCGTTGACGAACAGAAAAAAACTATATGTGACATTGAAGTTGAATGCATAACAAGAAACCTTCGAATGCTTTAGTACGCGATTGCAAAATTTGACTAATCACATTTAATTAAATTATGAACTGCTCATGGGTTTTTCTAGTTAAATTTAATGCAAACTTTATATTGCATGCGAAAAATTAATTTAATCATATTTTTTTGTCAATCGAATATAATGAATTAATTCCAGAGAGAATGCTTATTGAGTCCTTGCATGAATTTAACTCAGTTATCGACACATAATTCGACTGCAGTTGAGTAATGGTGTAATCATTTTTTGTATTGAACCGTTTGGTGTTGAGAACTTCGTTTATTTCTTCGTTCCAGAATTGATTGTCGTTGAGTGCATTTTTTCCGAAATAAGTTTCTATTTTAGTCAGCTCAATCAAGGAGAAATGAATTATATATCGTTATTTTTTTCGAATTGAAACCATAAATAATATGATATTTAAAGGGAATCAAAAATACGAAAAGTTTATATCAAAGAAATTTCTACTATAGAGACAATCTCTCGATTGAAACTTCTTTGAAAAGAATAATATTTTTATATTTAGTGTGATTAATGTAACAATTGGCTAAGCCGTGATTTGTGAGATTTATCGGTGCGACAGTGCGAATGGTGATCAAGTGCATATTATAATGTGCAACAAACCTTCGATGTTCTGCAATCAATTTCGAAATCAAAATACAATCCAATTAATTTTTTTCTAAAGGTTTTTTTGTCGAAATAAAAAAAACTCACTTTTCTCTGAATTTAAAACTGAAAAAAAAAATCAATTTTTCAATCACTGATTGAACTATCTGTGAATTGAATTCCATGTAATTGGAATTTGTGCAACTTTATGTTCCTATATCGTGTTCGGTTAAAAAAGGA